GGTCACCATTTACATCCAGGTTGCTCTTGGCACAGCTTGATCAACGTTGTGCCGGGAGTGTATTTACACACACAAGAGGGAAAGACACAACAGCACCACACACACACACACACACACACAAAATCCAAAATCCACCATATGCTTTGTATCATAGAGCGCATTCTACTAATTTAAGATCAAGAGCAAGGATGGTAGAGACATATATTTCGACTAGGAGTAATTGCGATCAGCCGTGCCTAAATTACTGGCTGCCATAATTGTAGCCATCCACAAACCTTCTGCCCTGTTTTTGTTTCAGAACGGGGAGGGACGGGAGCAGATCATGGAACAACTGTTGGGCTCGCCAGGTTTGTGTTCTCACTCGCCTGCTTGTTCTATCGTTTGTTGTGCATGCGGGTCTCCGGGATGCTATGGTCCAGACTTTGGCCGTTGCTTAGTGGCACAAACAAGTGACTCATGTTATCGATTAGTCACAAAAACACACATACAGACACATCGTCACATATCCGGGTTTTTGGTGGTGCAGTAGTTGTGTGCAGAGACATTCAGCCGGTTCACTGGTTAAGTCAGCTCAAATATGTCAGTCTACAATTGGGTTTAAGAATGCATTTTTGCCGGATAGGGTCGACTTAGACTAAGTGTGCTGTATTTGGTTTATGCATGGGACTGATATGTTTATGCATGGTTTCTTGGTTGCATGTGTTTTTCTTTTTTTTTTTTGTGGTATTTGAATTGAATGTTATTTCCGTTTAAGGTGTGTGTGTGTGTGCACTTCTCCATCAGGTATGGAATGACTACAGATTAATGTGGGACCCTGAAGAGTACGAGGGAATCAAAAAAATCCGGCTCCCGTCACAACACATCTGGCTGCCAGACATCGTCCTCTACAACAAGTACGTCTGGTTTGTGAAAGACAGTGTGTGTGTGTGTGTAAAACTAAGCGATTAAAACAGGAACAAACTTTATTCAAAAGCCCTATTTTTCAAAAATGTTTTCTCATATCCTCTTATTCCTTCTATCCTCTTATCTCTTCTTTTTTATCCAACTTTTCACCTCTTTTAGGATAATGAACACAACCAACATGTTTTGTTAACACTGTCTAGGGTCAGTCTCATGATGATGAGGGATCTTTTATGTGATGAGAGATTACAGATTTTACTGATACCCACATCAAGTGATCACATCTCACTTTTACTGAAGATTGGAAATCTATCAAACTAGTCTGTATAATAAATATTTTATTTTTAAATAAAATATTTCAGAATTTGATGATACTTTCAATAATCATTATTCAGAAGGCATAATTTGACATTTCTATTTCATTTCAGTGAGCATTTGTTATGTTGATGACTACTTCTGTGTCTTTTAGGTTTTCTCCCTCCTTGCAACTGACTGAACACACATGCATGTGTTTGCACATGCCTGATAAAGAAACATTTAAACATCTGAGAGTATATTCCCACATAGTTCAGCTGCATTTGGCATTTTGGCTGCATTGGAGAAAAACAATCAAATTATAGCCTGCACATTCAAACATGCCAGCATGGTTACACTGGCCAACATCCCTATAGCTACATTATTGTGTGTTTTTGCATATTGAGAAGGAATGCTGTGATAATATTGTGTTTTTGTGGGCACATCTAAAAATCATCTTGCGGCTATACAAAACAGCTGCAAGGGATAAAAATCAATACATGAGAATGTTGATGATATAATTTGTTCATCCAAAGAGAAATTTGTGTCACTGCCTATATCCACTGGAGTGTTAGCTGACGTCATGAAGGCCTCATCTCATCTGTCACGCACAGAACAACACCTGGGTCTTTTTTCCATGTGCTACTTTTTTTTTTTTTAATGTATGAGTCCTTGCTCTGTCTCAAATCACAACACTGTCACAAACATTGATGTTTGTGTTCTAGTTTTGCATTTATTTTGTTCTGTGTAGTGATACGTACAGTATTCAATATGATAACCATGGACATTAACTTTCTTAAAATGTCTTTCCACCTTTTACCTTCACGAGATCCCTTCAGTAGCTGATGAAGTTTCAGTGAGCTTTGAACCTCAGGTTTTAAGACAGAGCTCTGAAAAAATGTGAAGCTGAACATCTACAATTCCAGGGAAACTGAGCAAACACCATCTACTGATGAACAAGAATGAACGTTTGACTGGCTCACAGTTGTGTGGACATGTAGCTTTTGTGTTTTGGTCAGCAGTGTTACTCATTACCATTTATTCAAAACTGTAAGGCATTAAACTTTTACGAGCACAGATGCTGGTCAGCTAAAGACCACATAAAGAGCATAATGGCTTAAGAGGCAGAATGATAGGAGATTAACAACACTACCTTATGACTTCAGGTTGAGATCTTTGGCCAAGTCTGGGGGACCAGAGGTCCCAGTAAGCAGGTGGGGCCTCTGCATTTTTAATTAGTCTGCATATTCACAGCAGCCCCAAAGCATTAGAGACAGAGTGTGATGGCTGGATTCCTGACCTACTTTATAATTGATAGGCCACTTATCTATAATGCATCACCAGCAGCCTTGGTGAGATGAAGAAAAAAGTCAGTCTCAGCAGATTTAAGGTAAGTTGTTGCCATGTTGCTGGGATGTGTCCCAGGCTGAGCTCCTCCCTTGAGATGATAAACACATCCTTTACCTTTCAACACACATAACTGTTGCATGTGTCGCCTCTGCAGATACAGTAACAGTCATGAAATCACACTTTCTCAACATGCCATCATTTAGCTCAGTAAATTGATTGACTTTTCACCTCTCTGTGATATTCTGATTCTGTTAATGCTCAGGTGCAATAGATTCCACCACAAATGATTACATACCTTCAACCAATGACATGAAGTACAGTGGTTCTCATTAAGTAAGGTTGAAGGTAACCATAACGGTAATCTAAAAATACTCCAAAATGAATTCATTACAAATGAAAGTACTATGTTCAAAAACAACTTAAACTTGTAAGTATCATCAGCAAAATGTATTTCATGTATAAAAAGAACTGATTCTGCATAAAAACCGTGATATAAATATAAATGAAAAAGCTGAGGATGTTGTCTGCTTTTGACTTTGCCTGTTCAACTTCCTCCTTACTCGCATTAGTAACTGTATCAGGCTACGGTCACACATACACAAATGCAGGCGAGTGAACATTGCCTGCTGAGGCAAAATGTGGGCAGTGTAGGATGTGCCACACACGGAAATCAGTTTTGTGGGTTTGTGGTCCGTGTTAGGGGTCAACCACACACGCATATTTACTATTGGATGAGGCTGCGACTTCGCAGGTCAATTTGTCTGAGAAATAAAGGAATCTTTTTCAGTCATAATTTGAGATTATGAGAAAATTGTATCGTGACCCCAGTGTTGTGAATTGTATCGAATCATGAGTTGAGTGCATCATTAAGCCCAGATTAGATTGTTAATACTGATGCATTTAGGGGGCTGACCAGAAGGGAAATCACTCTTTGGTGGAACTGCTATCAATTCGGAGACATTTCTAATGTGCCATGGAACCCCACGTTAACCCTGGTTTTTTGTTATTGGCAAAAAGAGGTCTTGAATATCTTTGCAAGGAGGTGTAAAATTTTATTTTATGATTTGCCATCATCCTTCCAGTAATCAGTTTGTCTTTGAGTGCCCTATCTTTATCTTTCTGCTGTCTTTTGCTTACTCCTACCTCTTCCTTCTTTCAGTGCTGATGGGACCTATGAAGTCTCCTTCTACTCCAATGCTGTGGTATCCAACAACGGCGAGGTGGCCTGGCTCCCACCAGCTATCTACAAGTCGGCCTGCAAAATTGAAGTCCGTGATTTCCCTTTTGACCAGCAGAACTGCACTCTGAAGTTTCGCTCCTGGACCTACGACCACACTGAGATTGATCTCATCCTCCTCAGTGACTTTGCCTCACGTGATGACTTTAAACCCAGCGGTGAGTGGGATATTATTTCACTGCCTGGACGCAAGAATGAAGACCCTAATGACATCAGGTACCTGGATATCACCTATGACTTTATTATCAAGAGAAAACCTCTGTTCTACACCATCAACCTGATCATTCCCTGCATCCTGATCACGTCGCTGGCTATTCTAGTGTTCTACCTCCCTTCAGACTGTGGTGAGAAGATGACTCTCTGTATCTCTGTCCTCTTGGCCCTGACTGTGTTTTTACTTCTTATCTCAAAGATTGTGCCACCCACGTCTTTAGCAGTGCCTCTGATTGGGAAGTACCTGATGTTTACAATGGTGCTGGTCACCTTCTCCATCGTCACCAGTGTTTGCGTGCTTAACGTGCACCACCGGTCTCCCAGTACGCACACCATGCCCCCTTGGGTCAAGCGTGTCTTCCTGTATCGACTCCCCTCTTACCTCTTTATGCGGAGACCTGGTAGCTCCAACATCCGTGAAAAGTTCCGGAAAAAACACCAGCAGCGATCGTACTCTGACCAGAAGCTGCGAGGAGCAGACGGAGGGACTGGAAGTCCTGCGGGAATGGCAGATTCCTCCTCATCATTCTTTGTGAACGAGGACTTGGCCAAACGCTACGGCTGGAAGATCAGCGACTTGTCAGACAACACAGATTTCAGGAAGAGGATGACGCTCAAGTGCAACATTGACGTAGAAGACGCAGTAGATGGAGTGCGCTACATAGCTGAGAAGATGAAGAGTGAGGATGATGATGAAGGGGTACGTGTATTTGACATGCTCTTCTCTTGCTTTTTTTGTCATACAATTAATTTTTCCATTCTGACATACCTATTGGATGCATTGCCATAAGATTTGGTGCAGACAGAATTTTAATTAATCCAATACTTTGGTTTACGACCAAATACCAGGCATTCCATCAGAGCAAATCCATCAACAGCTTTAATTCAGTGATTTGTAAATGTATACCACTTATTATTATGTCACAGCAATATCACTGTTCTGTCAATAAATAATTACACATGATTAAGAAGCACAATGCAAATGCATTTACAATTTAATTTAATTTAATTCACTTTAAATCACTTTAGTTCAAGACAGGAACACAACAGTGGCAACATTTAATATCGAACCTCTCTCTGCAGATTATTGAAGACTGGAAGTACGTGGCCATGGTGATCGACCGTCTCTTCCTGTGGATCTTTGTATTGGTGTGTGTGGTCGGGACGCTGGGCCTCTTCATGCAGCCTCTGTTCCAGAGTTACAACACACCCATTATTGATGACGTGGACCATAACTGAAATCTGAAACCTGAACTTTGATCTCAACATAACCCAGACGGTCCCCACCACAACAGAAACAGATCTCTGACATCATTTTAACACAAGAACTCACATATCCGCCTCGCACCACACGCTCACTGGGAAACGATAATCATGCACTTTATCCCTCCTCCATCACCTGCTCTCTTCCTTATTTACACCCTTTGCCCTCTTCATCCTTAATGTGTCCTGCCATACTCTGCTCCACGCATTAGTCATTACCTTAATTGATACCTCTGGTTCATAATAACTTGGTTTAATTTTATAGTTTTGGCCATCATGCAGTAAACAGGAATGATGGGGATCGTACTGTTAATTGAGGAAATTTGTGCATGTGGCCATATTTCTGGCTCCAAACCCCAAAGGTTTTTTTTGCAACAAAGGTCCCTGGCTGTAACTGAACTGGGGGCAAGACGTGGTATGTGCCTCGGCTAATTGTTTACCAGGAACCCACAGGTTAAAAACAGGAAAACGGTAAATTTATAACCTGTTGTAGCACCAACTAGCTGATCAATTGACAGCTTACACACTGTCACTTCCTGGTTCTACATTGACCTACCTTACTTATTGTAGCTGTACGTGCACATAGCAAGTACTTTGGTATGTTTAATGATATCATAATCAAATGAAACAATGGTCAAAACTATGAAAACAAGACACAAGTTAAATAAACCAGAATTATCTTATCAGCCATGATACTTTCTCTTGGTGACCAATATAGATCTGCAGGTCTCGAAGAATTGAAAAGTAGCTTTATTTAAAAAAGAAAACCTTTACCTGTCCTGAAATGGTCAGATTGAAAGTCTGTTGACCTCTTTCACTGTTTACCTGGCCAAGAGCAACTCAGGATTTTTATTTATTTATTCTGTTTAGAACAGAGTTGGTTGTGCTCTTTGTGTCTAAATCAAATTATAATGGGAGTGTCTAACATGACATTATAGGGACTAACATGCATACAACAAGGCACTGTTTTTAAATCTAATTCCAATTTTTGTTTACTCAAAGAGAGATAGAGCCCAAAGATGAGCAAACCCACAGAAACCCACAAGCAGACTGATTTTCAACACATCCCCTGAAGAGGAGCAGGTGAATACCTTCTGTGTAGATCCATAGAAGATGATCACCTCCCTGTGTCCTTTTACCAATAGCACACATACTGTATGGGAATCTAATATTTGCCTTGAAAACGAGAGCAAGAGGGGACACAAAAGAACGAACTGTTGGCCTGCTCAAATAAAAATGGATGGGTGTGTGAGAGGATGGCCAGCCTGTTTTTACCCTCACACACCTCACTGTGTGGACCTGAAACAATAGACTGATCAAATCTATGACAAGCTTCTGTTGTGATGTTAAAAAGCAGCCATGTTTTAAATGAGGGTTATAATATAAAACTATAAACAAAACTTAATACCAATGACCATTAGGCTGATGTTACTCACTATGCTTCTTGTAAAGGTGCAGTACGCTGGTCTCATCAAAGCAGTGCTCGTCAGCATCCATCACCAAGGAAACCAGCAGCAATAATATTGTACAGTATTTTGTATACACTGACCTGGAGGCAAATTAGCCAAACAGTCTGGCTCTTCACTTGCTTTATCTTCCATCATATTGAATGCTTACAATGATTATCGCAGTCTGTTCTCAGAGACGTTACTTGAATCTGTGTCCAGTAATTATTTCAAGGAGTTGTTATAAATTGTCACTGTCATAATGCACTCGCCTGTCACTGCTACCAATGTTAGCCAAGGAAAAGGTGTACTGTATTAATCCAGCTGTATTGATTTTATTTCATCTTTGTTTTTTCAGTGGATGGAATGAAACATACTTTTTCTTATTCTTCTCACTGGCCGGTAATGCTGCGTGACTTGTTGAGCTTTGTCTGTATAGACAATAAATGCTGAAACTTTCTGGAAGGGAAAGAAATGGGAGCTGATGTCTTGCTAACTGGACTGGAGACCTGATGTATCACATGAACAATTCAAGTAATCAGTTAATTAGTTATAATTTTAAATAAGCAATCCATTACTGTTCAAATTTTACCATATTTCCCTGTTCCTTTTGTTGCAACAAAAAACAAAAAAAGTAAATCCTTGAAGCATTCTCACTGTTTCTTTTCTACTTCTACGTCCTATGTGTGTCATTCCTGTTATTAGCCTGCAGAGTTACAGATTAAGGGTGCCTAACTATGCAATGACGGTAGCCTATAGTCAGTACATTCAAAGGCTACTAGCCCTCTGGACAATACAACCAACATGTGTAAGGAAGTGCAAAGAAGTTTTCAGTTTTCAATGTAAACATCTAACAAGTTACCTTTATCTGTATTATGTTGTAATGTCACAAGTTATTTTTTTAATGGCAGTAATCTTGTAATGTAACAAGTTACTTTTAAAAGTAACATTACCCAACACTGCACATGAACATTAACTGATCATTCTATCCTGCAGTCTTTCTTTCAAGATTATAAACATTTCCAGTTTCTATATTAATCTCTTTTTGAGGCATCACATTGTCTCACACTATGTGAACTGTCCGAGGCCAGGGCCCAGTGTTAGTCAGCTGACTATGGCTTCATTAGACACCTTCTATTAGCTTAAGATGGCAGCGAGGCCGTATGGCCGCTAAGGGAAACAGCACGTGCTTGACACATGCACATAGCCACAAATCTAGATAATCTTATGTGTTTTGAAGCATTCTTAGCTCTTTATCAGATAGCAGCTGCTTCCCGAAATGTAGCTTGGCTCCAAAAAGGAGCCAGAGGCATCAGATAATGCTGGCTATTTGTTAATTACATGCCACTGATAATCACATTTCACACTTTCTAACTTCAAGTTAAAGTTTGCAGCCTAGCCACTGTAGCAGTATTAGTAAAGTCAATAATGCAGTAGTTGTTAATAAAGAGAGACAATTAGAAATTCGTGAACATAATCTCCAACAATAGCAGCATTTCCAGAATAGATGTAGTTACAGTTTCCATTCGTGTCTTCATGGATATTTTAAGGTTCCTGATTAATTGTTTTTCCAGATCACAAAAAAACATACAGTACATAAGCTGCTGTGTCCAGCAACTGCTGATGCTTCCAGCAAAGATACTACTGCATCATAATTTTCCAGCTGACATCAGTCACACATACACACATACACACACACTCAAAAGTCAAGAGTCAAACAGTGACATAATCCTATAGACATAGTGACAGCCATTGCATTGGAGTTGTGCCCCCATCCTCCCCTTGTATGACTCATAAATTATATACTTGACATCTGCATCAATTCCATTAAGTGAGTGGCCCCATGACGGTGGGGAGGGTTAGAGGGGCTGAGGGGCAGTGTTGTTGGTGTTGTGGAGGGCTGCAAAGTCAGACTATTTATCACATTTTCTGGTTTCTAAACATCACACACATTTTATTTCCATTACTTTCTGGTATTAGTTTCTCGTTTCATCTGATTACAAGTCAAGACCGATGATTATTAAAACTCAACACAAGAGTTTTATAATCTAATCCAGTCATCACAACCGTAAAGAGTATTTACTTACTGCCAATTTATTTGTTCTGGTTTCCTTTTTTTTGGTATTTCATATCCTTTCATGGGTATTTTTATTTTTTTGTTTTGAATGTCCAGTTTCTAATGTCCTGCAGTCGCTCTATTGCGTTTTTTCACCATAGTTTCTCCTATATGCTTGGAATGAGAGGGTGAGGCAAGGTGGTTGTAATCTGCAATTACACCACTAGATGCCACTAAACCCTTCACACTGGTCTGTTAAGTCCTACCATTCTTACCTCTGTCCTCTAAAAAGATTTTAAACATGCACACTTCAGCTATTGCTTGTCAATGGTAGTGTGTCAGACTGAAGCCACTATCTTGATCACTGACCAGTTGCTAGTGCAGTGAGGACATGATCCCTATTCTTAATACCTTTCATCATACTGAAGGCACCTGTTACATTTTTATGAATGAGCAGTTACCTATAAACAATTAAACAAAATGAGGACCAATTTAAAACATGCTGTCAATCCCACCAGGGCTGCAACTATTTTTTAAAGTTTGTGCAGATAAGAAAGGAGGCTTTGAATTCTCCAGCTGCACACTTCTCATATTTTGCACTTTCTACCAGGCAGAGTTACAGAATGGTCGTGAATATAATTCAAATTGGTCTTGGCAGTTGTTTAACGGTGAGTAACTTCCCACAGCCACAATGTTTGATGTCAGTGGATTTCAGCAGTGCCCACAGGTTCAATTCAATTCAATTTCGTTTTATTTTTATAGCATCAAATCATAACAGAAGTTATCTCAGGACACTGTTCAAATAGAACAGGTCTTCCGAACTCCTTATAAAGCCATCTGCCTGGCTACACGCTGTAGACTCTACATTGTAGTGTCAGTTACAATACAAATGACACTTAATAACAATATGTATGTGTGTATTTACATCTATTTAACAGTGTACCACTTCCTCGAAGATGCCTCCAGCACCAGGTCCATCCCTCAAGAGTAAGAAATTGAGGAAAAAAAGTCAGCCAGAAAGAGAGAGAGAGTTGGTGTTATGGTCTTCAGGTCTGATCATGAAGCGTGACGGAGGAGATTAAACTGGATGGGTGATGGAGGAGGGTTACAAGTAGGGTGGGAGAGAAAGAAAGAGAGAGGTATGGTAAAGGGAGACAGGGATGATAAAGGTCGGTCATAAACAAGAGACACAAGAGGCGGAGGAGCCGACAATAAAGACAGATTCATGCTGTAGTCAGAGATCAATAAGCATTTATTCTTCTCTGCAAGCCAAACCCACGTACATGTACACATATATAATGTGCATACATGCAAACATACAGCAGGAGGCAGCCATGCAATCATATCCAAGTGAAATATGTTTTTTCTGATTTCAGAAAGCAGAACCATAAACTTCTTCTTTAAACTTCTTCTAAAAAATTAGATTAGAAAATGTCTGAGAAGTTTAATTGCACATAGTGTATTCCAAACAGTACGCTGGCTATGTAGAAAGAGGCAGAAATTAGACCGTAATCAGTAGGTCAAAGGCCATTCACAAACTCTTGCAGAAGCACTCACAAGGCACAAGTCTCACTCTGCACTGACATTTCTATTCTATTCTATTCCATTCCATTCTATTCTTTTCTATTCCATTCCTTTCCAATCTATTCCATTCTTTTCTATTCTGTTCTATTTTGTTCTTTTCCATTCCATTCTGTTCTCTGTTAACAACTGCTGTAATCAGACTTTTGAATCTGCGATGCAGCATGGTGAAGGT